TCGCCGTAGGACCTCCAATTGTTATGCTTTTCGTGGATTATAAATATTATAGTCTAAAGTCGTTATAAAATAATCTCAATTAATTAAAAAGAATTACTAAGTTTAATACCTAAAGTCGTTATAAAATAATTTAAAGATTATTGTGTAACGACTTTTAGGTTTATATACTAAAACTAATTAATTAAAACAAATATCGTAAAACCTTTAACACAAGCGTAAGTCGCTGTGTCCGAGTGGTTAAGGAGATAGACTTGAAATCTATTACAGTTTCTGTGCACAGGTTCAAACCCTGTCGGCGACGATTTTTATTTTTAGAAAAATAATTTTTCCATGAACAAATCAATGGTTAAATTTTTGCAATTAGCAAAAAAAAACCTCTTCAATTAATGTTACATTAAAAATTACAATGGTAACAAGTTTTTAAGCGTATACTACAAAAGGTAATTTTTTTATTCCGCAATTGGGTCACCTCCAACTAACTATTTAGCATTAAAATAATAAAATGATGTTAAAATTTGGATTGTTTTTTTAAACCATTTTCCGATAGAAAAAAAATGAAACGAGAATAATTTTTATTCTTCCATACCATAATTGGTAACATCTTTTTATCAAAGATGGATTTCCACAATTTAATTTAGGCTATTAATGATTTTTGATAATTCATTTACAAATAACAAAAACACTATATTAAATTATCTAAAATTGAAATTTTATGAAATTTGTTAGTTAAAATTTTATGAAATTTGTTCAATTAAAATTTTATGAAATTTGTTCAATTAAAATTTTAATAGTAGGGAAATTAATTTGATCGGCTTATTATTCTTTTGTGCTAGTTTATGGTTTTGTGAATGAAGAAGGGTTGATAAGATATTTCCAAAACTTTTATGTACTAAAAATGTGAAAATGAAAAAATTCGTAAATTCAATAAAAAAAAAAAAAAAAATTTATTACTGTGGTTGTAAAATTTAAATAATAAATTTTTAATGAAAATATATAATATAATTAATCAATGCAATAAATACTAAAATAAATAAAAAAGTTCACTCAAGTTTCACTCTTTTATTTTTCACTTTTTTTTCCCTTTCATAGTTTAAAAAATTTTAATTTACCTATTCCATCACGAAAGCAACTTGATCCAATTGCATATAATCTTTATTTAAAGGATTTCCTTTATCGTTTTACTGAATTGGAATTACACTACAGAAACTCATTATTTAGAAAATTGAAACTAACTGCTTTCATAAACATTAAAAATCTAAGCTAAGTTTATAAAAAATTTTAAAGAAAAATTTGGTAGTAAAGAAAACACATCAGTTTGAGACTGGTCAAGGACAGCTATGAAGTACCAAGTTCCAACAAAAGGAAAAGGTTTTAGGGAGATGTTTAAAAAGGTGGATATCAGGTTTGTTTAGTTAACGAATTTTTAACTTCTTCAAATATGCCCGGGTTGTAAAACAAAATCTTTAGTAACAATTAAAAAAAGCCAACACCCTAACCCAAGTAAAAAAGAAAAATTAGTAACAGTTCATAGATTGCTTTGTTGTAAAAACGAAAATTGTAAGCAAACACTAAATGGTGTACTACTTGAAAGATTATGGAGTAGGGATGACGTTGCTACTTTAAATTTAAAGGATGTAGTTGAAAGTAATTTATTACATGGAGCTTGACCACTTTTTTCCTAAATAGTTTTCGCTATTTTAATTTCAATTGGTGTTTGATTTTTTGAATCACCTAGTGGTTATTGTTCAAAAAGATATTGCCCAAACACTATAGTTTCCAAAAAACTAAAATGCTAAATTAGGTGCTTTTTATATTTAGAAAAAAATTTAAAAAGCGTATAATTAGGCAATGATTATTAAGTATTCCAAGGTTTTTTTTTAAAAAAAAGTTGAAAATTATCCTTCTTTATAATTTTTCTTTTCTTAATTATTGGAAACTTACATAGTGCTTGGGCAGTATCTTTTTTAACATATTCAAAAAAATAATACAAACACCAATTAAAATAAAATAGCGAAAACTATTTAGGAAAAAAATTTATGATCTATCTACTTAAATATTCAGGTCGAACTCCAGATAATAAAGTACTTTCAAAAACGTCTTTTATATTTAAAGTTGCAACATCATCTCTATTCCAAAGTCTTTCCAAAGTTTGACCATTCATCTTTTGCTTACAATTTTCGTTTTTACAACCAAGCAATCCATGAACTTGAAGTAATTTATCTCTTTTACTGGGATTTGGATGTTGTCTTTTTTTAAATGTTTCTAAAGATTTCGCTTTACATCCTGGGCAAATTGACGATGTCAAAAACTCATTCACCAAACATACTTGATATCCTGCCTTTTTAAACATTTCTCTAAACCTTTTCCTTTTGTTGGTGTTTGATATTTCATTGCTGTTCTTGACCAATCTCCAATAAATACTGTTGTGTTTTCACAACCACCAAACTTTTCTTTAAATTT